TATGATTACGGGCCGCAAACGTAGTCCTCCCTCCATGACGCTTCTCGATAAAATAAACCAAAATTAGGAAGACACCTCGATTAATGATGACGCCGATGAAAGAAAATTCAGTTTCATTCGTGCATCCACGTAAATATTTGAAGTATGTGGCCGTGTGAACAAAGGAACTAGCCTCAGGACCGTCAGAGAGGCGTGAGAAGAAATCGTGATTGCAAACGAACCGGCGCTCAACGCTTGTGTATACTTCAACCACTTAACATCTTTAAACGAACGCCCCTCGTTATTGTTTTTCTCTGGCTTGACTTCAATCCCGTTATTTTGGTCTTGTCAAGTGCATGGACATTTCTGACGGTAAACTGACCGTTTCTTTTCCTGTCTACCGCATTAACAGGAGCTATTACTCATGTAAAGTACCCTTTTCCTTCTGTCGTCGTTGAAGAGGTGTTGACCAGTCAATCATCAAACAATTCCCTGAGGGAATTTTAATACAATTAACACAGACAATGAATGTCACACAACGGAAGCGTGTTGAAAGGAGTTGTATACAAATTCTTCTCAGAGTGAAATGACTAATTGCATACCAAACAGTCGAAATGGATCTGATATATTCGCGATCGCGTCTAGGTGTCGAGAATCGAAAGTTCTAACATTTTGCGGTTTTGACTTCGACGCTATTTTTGAAACATTTCCACTCTGAAACGTCCAATACAAACGCGCATTCAAGATCAATTCAATATCATTACTTTATAACAGCAAAAAATACTTCAACTATGTTTACGTCTTCTGACACACGTCTAAATGTAGATCGTGTGTGCCATGTGACAAGCAGAACGCGCGTGGTTGAAGATAAATGTTTTCTTTATTGAGGTTAGTGTTTTTCGGGGAAACAGAAATCAAATTAAATTTCGATAACGCAGAAACTCATTTATACATGCAACAGGAGTAAGAATGTTGTAAATTATTGCTATTGTGAATTAATCACCGCCGGCTTACATAGGTCAAAAAAGGCCACATTATCAAAGATTAATTGCTTCGAAAAACGGCTGGTCAACTGACAGCTCTATAGCGGCGAGATACGCTGTTACATATGCGCCTCCCTCAGCAAATTCACTTTTTCAAAGGAGACTTTCTGGCGACTTTTACAACTACTAACTTGTCTTGGCAAGGGGGGAGTTTTTTTGTTTTATTACTATTATTTTACTACTATTATTTTATTTACATTAATTTGAACATGAAGAACTACACTGCAAAATGACGCTCTTGTTGATTATCATTATTCCTATTAACCCTTATGGCTGGCCAGAGAAAATGTTATGACTCACAAAATCTTAGGTTCCGGGCTATTTGCCAGTTATAAATTTATCCTTACTGCCTGAAGCGAACTGTTTATCTCTGAAAGCTGTATGTGGCCTGGACTGATGTAGAGTGCTTTTAATTCAAAACAGCTGGCAATCATTTTGAAACGGCAGGGGTACTGATTCTAAATGAGATATGCATTTGAACATCATCGCTGGATTGTGTTGATCATAGAGTTTTAGTTCACAAGGAAAATAAGCCAGAAAACAACGTGAAACAAAGGTCCTTTCAAATTTATTTGGTGCACATATTGCGTGTAACTTTTTGTCTTTTTTGGCAAATTCGTTTGCGGTCTTAAAATAGCTTCCTTATTCCCGTCACTCACGATCTAGCAAGGCACCTATCACTCGCTGTAGCAGCAAAATCGTATCACTTGATGAGGATCTTGATTCCCTTCTCTGGTTAGTAATCTTAAATCATTTTCTCATGAATACACTGAAAGGATAGGCCCTCTCTCCAGTCCGTCTTTCTCAGCTTCGTCTGTCGCGAGATTCAAAAGAAACATTCGTGGTCCCCTTCTTAATCATGGAAAAAAAAAGATAGACGAGAAAAGAGAAAATTTGCTCTTAGTGTTAGCACGACAACGAAGTGTTCCCTCTGAATCCCTTGGAGGGATGAGCTGCTTCTACTCCGCCTTTCAGAATATTTTTAAGACGTAAATTATCTCTCCCGCTTATAGCTATCGAAAATTTGAAGAGAGTATTTGCTATCCCTTTCATATAGAAATGGCAATCCTAATTCAGACACTTCACAAAACTGTCATTTTTCTTCCGATTAAAACTTCTGCATTTTGGCCCCCAAAAGTTTTTATAAAGAAAACTTATGATCCAAAGCATTCCAACAGTTATAATGGTTTACAGTCAAGTCACCTGAGAGTCATCTCGTCCGAAGTCATGTCGCCCGAAACCTGAGTCGTGTTGCCCGAAATTTTAGTTATGTCGCCCGAAAAAAAAAGTCAAGTCGCCCCAAGAAACAAATACTAAAAAGATCAGAATTTCAGACTGTTAATAGGCAATAACGTTGAGAAATTTTTAGCACTAAAGCGCTCTTTGTTTCCGACAACACCACAAAGATTCTCAAAGCGTTGTTCGTTCCTAACAACAAAGGGAAACGTTGTTCGTTTCCAACAACAAAATGCAGCGTTGTTGGTTTGATATGTAATCGTTTCTTACTCACGGAAGTTTCGTAAGCTTGAGAAACTTTTTCTTGGTTTCTAACAAAGCCATGAACACAAACTACATGAACTACACAAAATTCGATCATATGGTCAGAAAGGCCATATGGTCGACCGTAATCGTCGCACTGTAGGGCTTGTTGACGTGGTCTAATTTCATCATCACAGTCAATGCAAGGATGAATGCTCATTGTGATCAGTTCGTATTCGTATTGTAGCTGGCTTTACTCCCTTCATATATCCTTTTATCGGATCAAAATATACATGCGACCGCCAGAGGAAACAGAGCACAACTACATAATTTTTGCCTATTCTGAGCCTAAGGGAAATGATGCTATCAGACTGCTACTGTGAAAAAAGTAACAAGCATAAACAACAGACTGTCATCTTAAAAATATCACACTTACCTTACACAAGGCGACAAGTTAATTTTATTTGTATGTTACTTGCTTTACCTTTTACCGACTTGTCGAACGCGACAATCGACATTCGTTTACCAGGTGTTTTCATCTGTTATTGTTAAGAAAGTCACAAATAGACACAACAGAACTTTACTTGTATGTTACGCTGCATCGATGCATTTGTTGTTATAGAAACGAACAACGCTTCCCTCTGTTGTTAGAAACGAAAAACGCTTTTAGAGTCGTTACTTTCAATTCTGACCACACAATCGATTTCTTTGTAGTCAAGTCTTCATGGCATTTTAAGAAACAAAGAAGGGTTTTTCAAGTTTACGAATGTCCGAGAATAAGAAACGAGTACATACCAAACGAACAACGCTTCATTTTTCTGTCAGAAACGGAGAACGCTTCCCTTTGTAGTTAGAAACGAACAACGCTTTTAGAATCGTTACTCAAACATATGTCAATTCCGAGCATATGATCGATTTCTTTGTAGCCAAAGTCTTCATGGTATTGTTAGATAGATACCATTGTTGGAAACGAACAGCGTTCCCTTTGTTGTTAGGAACGAACAACGCTTTAAGAATCTTCATGGTGTTGTCGGAAACAAAGAGCACTTCAGTGATAAAAATTTCTCAACGTTATTGCCTATTTACAGTCTGAAATTCTGATCTTTTTAGTATTTGTTTCTTTAGGCGACTTGACTTTTTTTTTGGGCGACATTACTAAAATTTCGGGCAACATGACTCAGTTTTCGGGCGACATGACCTCGGGCGACTTGACCGGTTACCGTTGTAATACATATAAAGGAAAGTGACTCGTATCATAATTCCTGAACAAAAACTTGGCGCTTTTTGCCGCTTCCCGAAGACAAAGAAATTCGCTTTTAAACTGTAGTTACGCATCTGATCAATGTGTTCCTTCTTCTTAGTTGAAAAAAGAACGTTATCAGTCGTTGCTGAATTTATCCTCTGACCAAGTTTACGTGTTCGAGAGAAGAAGATCTTAACTGTCGTAGACACAGACACATTTGGTCGACAGGAAGGAGTGCTCTCCGATATTGGAAGAGGAAGCAATGAAACCTTTATAAATATTTAGAACTGCATATATGTGATTGTAAGAGGGCAAGTTAGTATTATCAACCGAGTTGATAACGTAAATTAGCCTCCGTAAGAGTTTTAAAGCTGACGTTTTGAATGCTAACCCTTCGTCAGAGCGACTGACTATCAACTCAGTTGATAATACGAAATTACCCTGTTATACTTTCCCACCGACGCAGCACCAGTTTCTTTAGAAACTTAATTCCTTTGTGCAAGTGATTATACCCTCACATCCTGATATGGAAGCTTACTGTTTTAATTTGCGTTATCCTCCACTAGTAATTAAACGTTCTCCTTTCAACTGAAATCATCACGAGCCGTATATGTAAAGATCTGCAATTAACTAAGGGAACATCTGCCCGCAAGTTAATACTAGGGCGGCAAAACTAAGGGAAACTTCCATTATATTGAACATCAATTTCTTTTTTTAGAACTTCGCGCAGACCTAAATTTTAGCTAAACGTACCTGAGCGGCGTTGAGTTTCAAATAAGAAGGAAACAAGCAATGGGCCCCTGCAGGAAAATTATTTGCCGTCGGGGTTCCCATTCTCAGAGTACACAAATGTGGGTGATTTCACGTTGTTTTACGAGGACGGTATGGAAAAGTATGAAGTTTTAAAAATCACACACAGAGCTATTCCTCTGCTCACAGCATTAGTTTGCTTCAGGTCCTGAGTACCACACAAAGAGGATCAAAAGACAAGACTGAATATCCCATAAAGATCCTATTCCCTAAATAATCTCTCTTATATTATGAGGGTTCCTAGATACTTTACGAAAAGAGAGACTTAGAGTGACCCCTTTCTCAGACACAACATGGAGGGAATGCGTGAAAAACTTAAATGGATTGGAACAACTCACCCTGATCTCTAGGAAAATAGGTCTGAGAAATCCTTTGAGGCTGAATTGAGGAAAACAAACTCCGTAGATGAAAGGTGTTCTGTCGCACTTTGAATAGAGTAATTGTCACACTTTTTAACAACTGTCACACTCTGCAATAAAATTGTCGCATTTTGCAATAACTGCTAACTTGTCCCTCGACTATCTACACAAAATTCATTACACTGTGCGACAAGTTTTGTCACAAAGTGCGACAGCTTACTTTATTAAAATGCACAACGGTCTGTTATTATTACAAAGTGCGATAGCTCTTTTATTGCAACGTGCGACAGGTATTACAAAGAGCGACAATTCCATACAGAAGACAGGTATTATAAAGTGTAACAATTAATTACAAACTGACACAATAAAGGGGATCTTTCTCTAGCAATTAATGACTTTACTACCCTGAATAACCCTGAAATCTTTAATTGTAAGTATAGCGAAATGCGAGTGATAAAAATGACTCTGAGTCGGGCCCAAAACATATCTATAACCAACAACATAAATTCTATTGCAGCAGTGTACTTACTTCGATCTAACCAATATTATCCAATTCTATGTCACGAATTTTACTGACGTGGACATCCCACGCGGCGTCTACAGTAACTAGTTTTCTACCAAGTCACTCAAGCACCACACGCAGTTCATACATCATAGTTCCTCACAAACCTTGAGTTTCAACCGTCCACTCAGGCTACCACGATGCCAGTAGTAATTCTCCTAATTGATTGCAGCACTTTACTCATTATGATACTTCTAGGAATTCGGTGTTGAATCAAATGATGATTCCTTTCTTGATATTTTTCTAAACTCTTATCATCTGTTTGCTTGATTTTGGATTAATAATTTAAGCAGAAATTATTTCTTGGTCACTCATGGGAATGAAAGGGCTAAAGCCAGCTTGAGATGGATTTACTCCACAGTAAGACTCAGTCGTATATAGGAAATGCGGTCAATGACCAAATACTCATTTGCAACTTAACTTCTTAGAAAACCGCGCTGTAGCAATTTTCAATTCATCGTCGAATGTACACCGAAATTACATTAGTTTTGGTTTACTTTCTATCTGTGATTGGTCCAGAAAACACGCGCCACTCTCTCAACCAATCAAAAAACTACATCCAATCGCGACTTGGTCATCCCAGTTTTACCGCGCTTTTAATTCATGAAGTTTGCTTGTCTTTGCTTTTTGTTCTCATTGGTTCCTTGTGATATTTTCTTCGCTCTGATTGGTTGTTAAGACTCCACCGATTGGTTTTAGGACACTCCACCGAAGGCGCTCTATTAAGAATTAGAAAACCGCTTCCAAAGAACAAAGTTCAATTGAGCACCTTGCAGACTTTGTTTGCTTGCTAGTCCTTAATTAGGAAGTAATTCGGCCAAAATACCATCTTTATCGAACTTGAGAACTCTATACGGTGTGTTCCTGTCTTATAACTGGTTCGTCTGACTTTTTCTCGGGAAATAACAGTTCAAAGGCATCGTGAATTTCTGGTATCATATCGGTTGTCGTCATATTCCGCCGGTACTTAGCAAATGCCAGTCTGTTGCAGGTCCTTGTTAGTGCACAGGCCCCATATGCTGCTACCAGAGATCGACCATACGAACATGCTCTGAGAGAAGAAAGGAAAAGACAACTTCTTATTTTGTTAACAGTCTTAGTTACCGGAGACTTACCATTTACCACTATCACCATTTTTTCAAGATGGCCTCTAGTTAGAGTGTACGGATCAAAGTCAGTACCTGAGCAAACCATACCCTGGCCCAACATTAATCCCAACTTGTTATCAGTTGACTGTTGCTGAGTTAGGGTAGGGTTAGGAACGCAGTCGCTAACAACTGACATTGATTCTGGTGTACCATATTTCCATTGCAAAGTCTCCTTGTTCAAAACCTTCCATGAAAATATTTTGAACAACAACGGGTTTTCATGGCAAAAACTAGTCACATTTTCAAATAACATTCTCAAAGACAACCATTCCTGGGGAAATCATATCAAGGAAACCTACTCGCCTATCATTGGCTGTCGGTGCTTTGAAGCAGACTGAATTCAAGTAAACTGTACCTTTCCTCTTTGCTCATTTTTTTGAATGCCATATCTGTCCAATGGAAGAACACACCCATGGAGCCAGATAGGAGGTCACCCTGACCTCCACAACGTCTGTTGCTACCTTCTGTTCTGCAGTTTACAACTATTTAGTCATAAAAAAAAACATGCAAAATGAATTATTTTAAACTTTTTAAAACAAAAAATAAGGATAATATAAATACAGAATTATTTTTAAAGTTATTAACAAAGAAATTCTGGAAACTCCCATGGTTTACTTTCTTTACTTCATTCATCAAACTAGCATTTTAAACACATCCCCTTAACTCCAAAGATAATAGGAGCAGTTCTACTTGATGTTCAATCCATTTAGTTTATTGCAGATTACTAAGAAAAAAAGACTTTTATTAATGTTATGTCAACCTCCACCTGATAGGTTTGCATATTCTCAACACCTGACTGCAAGATGAAGCATGGCAATTATAAGGAGAAGATACATGCAAATCACACAAAAAAGTCAAAGGTTTCAATGGGGAAAAAATGTTGAGAATTCCCCCTGCCATGCTTCACTAAAACAATACAGAAGGTTGATGTAATTCACACTGGAAAAAGTTTGTATTTGATAGTATAGTTAATAGGTGGCTGGAGAAGAAAGTTTAAAGAGGTGTCTTTACATCAATGTATAATTTTTTAGATGGGTAAATACAGATGCGCTTGAAAGTGCATTAATCGTTCTTCTTCAAATTGTCAAAGGTCCAAGTGGAGACTGCAAATGGGAGGTCCACGACCCTATAAACAAAACTTTTCACAGATACATGCAAAATTGTAATGAAAAATGAACGCAGGACTTATGGGATCTACACTTACCATCTTTCCCATCTGCAATGATATCTTCTTGCCCTTTGCGGCATATGGTAACTCCGCCTAACTCGCGGCATAACTGTGTCACATGATTGGAACAGTCTATAGATGGGTCAGGTTCACGGCCAAACTGCCAAATTGGAATAATTAAATCAAGGAGTGGAAATGAAATATAAAGGTACTTCAAAGTTAACCCTTTAACTCCCAAGATCTCCTGAGTAATTCTCCTTAATGTCTGCTATACAATTCATATGATGTTATTTTGGAGAATTTGGAGTTGGATCAACCAATAATCCCCTAATTGATATTTTTCTTTCTTCTCATTACTTGTCTGCTTGCTATTGTACTGATGGCGTAAGGAGAAATTCTGTCTATGTCACAAGTGGGACTTAATCAGTAGAAAGTCCCCCTTCCTGACCAATCAAAAATACTTCTCACAACAAATGATTGACACCTTGACCCCTTAGAGTGATTAGCATCTATTTTCTCATTTCAATATCACCCCCCAAATCATACATATAGGTCATGAGAATAAGATCACCCACTAAAAATGCTCTAGATTGTTCAACAAATTCTCCTTGTCAGCACCTTAGGAAATGTATAGAGAACAGTATGGAGAATATGCATACTGATGTTAGGGTGTAAAGGATTAATGGGATCTCAATTTAAAAAAAAAACAACTCACCAATGTGCTGTATAGTCTTGTGAATTCCATAGCATTTGGTGTGAGTATTGCTTTGGTATAATTCTTGATTATGTCTGGATAGGATGTAACCATGTAAAGCCCATCCTAATGCAAATAAAAATGGATAAAAATTAATTTGTCTCTACTCTAAACATAAGAAGTAGATGTACTGTGGAGGTTGTCAAAGCATTATGCTGATCTAGGGTTGGTGATTTAGGAGTTTACTGCACAGATGTATTGAAACAGTATACTCAACTGCATCTATCACTAGAAGTTTTTGCTGCTCCTTTGCAAGCTCAAGAACTCCCTGTAAAGAGACAATAAGGACAAAATAATTGAAATACCAGTAAGTCAATTACCAGAAGGATTCTTTCTAGACTAAATATAATCATAATGAGCCTTGAAAACTATATCATTAGAAAGCTCCAACTTCGTTTCCATTCAACATCGGGCTGTACCACTGATTAATTATCTGTGGATGGAAATCTGGTGCAATCTTTCTTAATTAAATCAAACAAGAATGCTACTGTGTCAAAAACTTGGAGTTTGCATGATTCCACTGGCTTAGAAACTGATCATGGACTTACCTTGACATTTTCAATGATGGTTGGATTTCTACCCATTCCTGGGCCAACTACAATGCAGTGAAGTCTTGGAAGCCAATCTTTCACTTCTTTTACAGCTGTTTTTCTGTCCCTGAATATATACATTTGGCAAACAGAAATTCTAATGTCAGTTTTCACTGCCAAGATCTTATTAGCAATTCTCCTTACTGTCTGCTATACAATTCTTGTGGTGTTAGTTTGGAGAATTTGGCAATTGGATCAACTAATGGTTCCCCACTGGTAATCTCCATTCTCACCACTTGTCTGCCTAATAATTTTTAACAAGAAATTCTGTTTGGGTCACTCGTAGGAGTTAAAGGTTTAAAACTGATAAAAGATCTGGAAGAAAAATTTTCAATTGTATTTGTAGGGGCACTTGTTGGAATGGGTAAGAAGCTTTTGAACACTGAAAAGTAGAACATTATTCAATAAAAGTTTCTTTATAGGAAAGGGGAGCCATTGAGTGGAGGTTGTTTAGTGAAAGCATTACTGACAATACTTACAAAACAGGATGGACAATAAGTTCAGGGCTGTATGACTTAATAACCACAGAAGCATCACTTGTACAGAACACATGGGACAAATCTGCACCCTACAAATTGAACAATGGATGCTTGATATTTTTTGTAGTATGAGAGAAAAATACAGGATTCATATGGTAATGACAGATGCTGGGCACATGTTTTTCAAGTATTTCAGCGGCTTACACTGGTAATGTAAATTAAATGCCATTAAATTTCATTTCTCTCTTGAAAACCTCCTTATAGCTTTTCAAGAGGTTGAGTTCTGGGGGACTTTGGCTAATATTGATTAATATAAAAAATACAATTTTTAAATTAATTATATATCAGAGTATTCATTACAATGATTTTAAACTGTTAAGGAACTCAAAAGAAAGACTGGAATGTCAAAAAATTAAGACATTAGATTTTACTTGGGAGTTTTTTTCTCCAGATGCTTGTGTTTTTTTTTTTTTTATGCTTAGAGTTTATCCTTGATTGCTTAGTGACCTAGATTTTGCAAATTTAAGACTATTACCCTGCAGTTTGAACAACCTATCAAGAACAACCCCCTTTGTGGACATATCTCTATCAAAGGTTGAAGTTTTCAAAATTAAGACTCACAGCTTTCAAAGCTGATATTGCTGCAAAGTAAGGTGCACCTGTATACCTGCAACATGATTACAAAACATTCAAGTATTAATCTAATGAGTAACTTCACAACAAATCCATGGGTTAGTCGTTAATCTTCATTTGGAAACTTCTAGGAATGAGATGTTATTTTTCAAAGAGCTACCACAAGTAGTAAACTAGAGGGCACTCACTTATTTCTCCAGTTGATTATCTGCTGCTTAGCATGGTTTGGTGTTTGAGGAGTGTGGTAAAAGGTTTGTTTAAAATTTGAGACTAAACCCAAACTTAATATGCAATGCACAAATGTTACAGAGTCAAGGTAAGATGAGATTTGTAGTTTTCCCTTTAAAATTCTACTGCATGAAATACTGTTTCGAGTACATGTAACACCTGGAATTTTTCTATAATTTGGGCGAGAAATGGGATTAAAACACTCCCCCTCCCCTCCTCCTTTCCTATGCTACCCTCTTGGAGATCTTGAATTTTCACAGAAGGTGGACATACTCGAGCAGCTGGGTCATGAAAAAAGGACTTAATTCGGTAATAAAAGGAACGGAATTTTACTCGGACAGAGCTAGAGATTTCAGGCCTCAGGGCACACCCCGAGCTCAAAACTAATCTCAGTCACCCCCTCAAGCTGTAAAGGTGGTAGGGAAAGATTAAAAGCTCGAACAACATAGTACCGGATTTAAGAAAAGTTCTCAATAATGACGCAAAATCAGTAATCTCTGAAGCCCAGGATTATGATCATCTTCATCAAACTACTTACTCCTGACATCCGCCTATTATCCCTATTCTACCCAAGTGTCCTTTGTGAGAGGAATTCACCAGAGCAGGGATAGTTTCCCGAACAACCTCCAGGCAACTACATTGTCTCTTTGGGGCTTTGATGTGAGAGGCATCTGTTGCCGATCTGAAACGATTGTTCGGCTGGGTTTCTCCTCCAGCAAAGGTACTCCGCCTTCCTGACATGACAAATCGAAATTTAACAACCTCAGCAAACCTTGAGTGTCTCCTCGCTACATATGAGTTTAAGCTTCCCAGAGAGCCGCTCTTGTACGAAGCCAGCACTGACATGGGCAATGTTATTGACAGAGAAACAGCTGGGTACTAATATCAATTAGTCTACTTTGGTGATGCTTATACCACAGCAATAACCATCCAAGTCCGCGCAAACAAAATGGCGCACACTTGAGCTTCTAGATCTCAACGCTCTATGTTTCCGCTTTATGAACGGCTATGGCATTACTTGACCCAAAATCATATTCTAATAATGTGCTAGTAGTCGGAGATGGTAACTTTTCATTCACGGTTTGTTTGGCGTCAGCGTTATCAAAGACATCTGTGAAGATCGTAGCGACATCGTTAGACTCGCGCGCAGCTTTGGCAAGTAACGACTTCGCTCTGGGAAACATCGCAAAACTGTCCTCTTTTGAAAATGTCGAGATCTTGCACGAGGTAGATGCAACAGATCTTTGTCAAAAATTTGGCTCTAGAACGTTTGATCGGGTGATCTTTAATTTTCCACACACTGGTGGCAAATCAAACATTGCCAAATCGAGAGATCTGTTGGAGCGGTTCTTTGCAAGCGCTGCGCACCACGTGGAACGGTTCAAAGGCGATATCTGTGTAAGCCTTTGTCAGGGTCAGGGAGGAACGCCCTTGGACAATCCAAGAAGGGAGCTTGGAAACTCTTGGCAAGTTGTTTACCGAGCTGCGAAAGCTGGTTGGTATTTTGTTGTTGTTGTTGTTGTTTTTTATTGACGAGTTCGATCAGCTTTTAAGAAGCTCTGTCATTTGGAGATTATTTAAAATTGATGAGCTAGCTAGCTGATCGAATTGTAAAGATTAAGATGCGAACCGCCGGTGACTTCAAACCTGGAGATTTTTCTTTAGTGCCAGCTGCCACCACGAAGCCAATCAATTTGACCTGCCCCATCAAAATACCTTCTGTAATGTCAACCTCAAAAATATTTCCGTAAAACCCATTACTATTCTAAAACAAAGCCCTGGTCCCAAAGTCATTGTAATATTTTCGCCATTTTTCTTCATCCAAGAACTGTGTGTATGATGAGGTATAGGGCTTTATGGAAATCTTCCATGAACCTCCCAGAAAGGTTCTGTCAACGGGAGGGTATCTTTCGATGTGGTTGTCGGGATGAAGTTACACCATACCCTTAAAGTGGAGTGTTGTGAGGGCAGTAAGTTATGTTTTGATAACCAGTATTAAAGTCATGATATCAACCAGAATCACTTGTAGGCCCAACCTCTTTACTGTATTAGAGGTATTTTTTCAGTTATCCTTGACAATTTGCTGGTGCCTTGTGTCACATGTGAGTGGACAAGGCATTAAGGTTCAATTTGGTTGCCCAAAAATATCATGCAATAACCATCACTCCTGGAGGTGGCTTGAGCTAAGACCTTTCAACCTGTGTCAGTGACTCTAACCATCGCTCTTTCCAATATCCACACTTTAATCTGTATCATCTTGTTTACCCACAACTAGGTCTGATTTTGAATGATGTGTATCCATTCAAAAGTGAAGATTATACCTCTTACAGAAGTGCAGGCTTTCGTGGACAGCTTGGGAAAGGTTTTCATACTGTAAATGGGCTCACTCATGTGTTTGTCCATGGAGTGCCACTGGAACCAATTCCAGACCTAGAGTAAGCTCCCTCATAATACTATTAACCACAAAAAGCATCCTGGTATCTCACCAAAGATCATGGTCATTCTTTAATTTTTAGCTTTGTTTATGACATGAATAGTATTGGCCAAATCAAATTTCCACTCGGTCAGTAAAATAAATCATTTTGCATTAATTGCAATTCAAAAAGTTAGATTTTATAGCTTTAAGTGCAATACAGCATGCTTACTGATTTAAAAGCCACACTTGGTGTCTTTTTTCTAATGTTCCACAAACCATTTATATATTTGATAGTGTCACCCATACTTGTATGGCTATCTCATCTCTTGATAAGAAAAAAGTTTCAGACCTCAAAATGTCTCTCAAACCAATTTTTTTTCTGCACATGTATTATATTTTTGGTTTTATTTTGGTTTCTCTCTTGCATCAAGGTCTTTCATCTCAAATTACAGTAGCATTGTGGACAGTCTTTACTCAGTGGGTGGTCTCATTGGTGTTCCTAATAATCCTGTTGGTAACTTGGTCAAAAAACTTGAAAGTTTCTTTGGAAATTACAATATTTGTGACCTGACTGATGAATCCTGGCAAGATTGCTGCCAATCAGAATATGTAAGTGATTTGACTGAGGAAGCAAAGAAATTGAATGTCAGAGAAGAGGCCACAGGGTTGACGCTGGAATATTCGAAGATCTCTTTTGCAACCAGAGTTGTTGAGAAGCTTCAAAAAAACTGTCATTCCTTTATCTTAAGTGGCACTGAGATTGACTTCTTTCTCCCTCCATCATCTCGCACACACCCTGTCAGCCACAAACTGGTTGCAGTACAGACTTTCACAGAACTCATAACACCATTAAAACTTCAGAGTGTTGTGAACAGTGTGCTAGAAACATTTGTTGAAGATATTTGCTCTCACATCAAAGACTTAAGAAGAGAGAGTAGTTGTCAAGGTGTATCACAGACAAATCCCCTCTCTACTTCAAGTTCAGTAGAGTCAGAGACAACCCAGTTAAAAAATGGAGTACAAACAAGATTTCTAGATGTCAGGTGTGCAGGTGCTGCAAGCATTGGATGTCATTGTAGAAACCAAGATGGCCGAAAGAAGTGCATTTTTTGCAGGATGGAAAAGCATTATTTAGGACATGATATCTCTCCACAAGTTTGCATCAATGACCTTATACAACCCTCACCAAAGACTACACTATATCATAAAGACATGCTGTTAGTATCTTGTGGTATTTTAGATATTAGCAAGTTCCCAAAAGTTTGTTGTGGGTGGCTCATGGAAGTTAATATTGACAGCTTGGCTTTAGCTTTGTGCAACATTCCTGACATACGACTGCTTTGGTCAAATGATCCAAGGATTCAAGAACAGTTTTCAAGCCAAGAGGTAAGGGTTGTTATCAATTCATGTAACAAATTGTTTAATTTAATTAGTGTACAGAAATTCTCTGTCATTTTTTGATCAGTTATTTACGTTCAAACATAAGAGGAACCCAAGTGAGTGACGGTTCTATGTGCCTTTTGAGTGCACAAAAACTGGAAGCTTTGTAGGCTAGCATAGGAAATTTGGTGGTTATGAATGTTGGGTATTATTATTAATTTTTACACTGTATTCAATCAGCCATTATGGCCATTTCTGTGGTTCGCCCTCTGAAGGAGGTCACGGGTAAAATGTTTTCTTTGAAAAGTCAGCATTGTTTTCTTGAGAAGAAAAATAGTTATTTTTGGACTTACCCTTGGGAACTCTTAATTGAATGGGTCAATTTGTGATGTTGAGTTTGACCATATGTGGAACTTAAATGGACCTAAGTGTAAGGAGAATGCTGTGTCAGTCATACCTGTAGCTGATCATGCTCCTCTGCCATGGTGTTGTTTCTCTGCTTACAGTCTGATGCCTTAGCATTTGTTTGAATATCTGTGATTCTGTTATTGGGTTCAATGTTTGACTCCTTTAGAGGTTCAGGTTCTTTCATGATGCGGTTGGGGGATTTGGCAATGCTTAGGAGCAGTTCACTTCTTTTGTGTATGGTGACTTGTGTTTCTTGCAGTTCATCTTTCTAGATGCATTCTTCTCATCTCTGTAATCTATTTACAATGTTAGTGCTTGTAGGAAGTAAATCGCTGACGCAACAATGAAGGGGGTAAGTTTTTACAGAAACTGTGGTGCTGCTCAGCAGAAGAGTATAACAGTGTAATTTAGTATTATCAACTGAATTGAAAATGTAAAATTAGCCACTGTAAAGAGTTTAAAAGCTGCCTGTTGTCAATGCTTAATTCTATTGCTGCAAGCAAAGCTAGAAGAGTAATGCATGATGCTCTGAAGTTTGAAGAAGTGTCCTTTACTACTTCTTTACATGTAGGTTGATGAGTTTCCCAACCTCGGTAAAGAGTTTGTTCCAATCAGTCTCTTTCCTCCGACATACATTCATGACATAAGTTTCTGGATTACGGAGCAAATGACGGAACAGCAGTTCTTCCAAGATATTTATGAAGTCACTCAAGGAAGTGTTTGTGATGTTTGGTTTGTTGAACGTTATCATGATACAGAACAGGACAAAGTGAGTTACAATTACCGTATGATGTACAGCTCATGTGACAGACCATTGAGTCATATTGAGACTGTAAAAATGCAGAACTTGTTAAGAAGAAGGCTTTTGAATTGTGACTTTCCACTCAAATAGGTATTTAGGTTTACTGTGGTGTTGTAATTTTTCAAATTGATGTTCATGTAGGACCAGCTTTTACTTTGATCATTTTTAACAAATGACACATTTACATGAAAGTGGAAGTGTTTATGAAACTAATATTATGTTTCATGACTATTCAAGAGCCACATTTTCAATCCCTATCAAAGCCTGAATTTCATCAATTGTAATTTCATTTCATTTTACATGGGAAGACTGGTTGTCACCTACACATTGTCAAATTGTGATTGTAATATGTTCTGCCGCCTTGCAACTTACATTGTAAGTAAGCAGGAAACAAGTAAAAAGAAATTCATATTTTAAAAAAAACATAACAATGTACTCTCTTGACATGACAAAGTGTTTATAATGATGTATGCTAATAGTGCACCTGAATGATGTGTGTGACATTCATTGTCTGTGTTAACTGTATGAAAATTCCCCCCAGGAATTCCATCCAGGTTGTAAACGAAACTTATTGTCTTCTTACCATCTCTGTTTTAAGCATGACACTTTCACTTTCAGTATGCTTTCAGTTTTATTCTCACTAACTTAAAGGTATATAGGTTTGATTATATAGGGACAAAGTGTATGCTAACAAAAAAACAGAAGAAACAGAATATGCACAACCTACAAATGGTATTAGCCTGTCAAGGTAGGGGTTGACTGATGACCAATCATGCTTGAAGATCTTTTTTACATGTAGTTTTGATTCCTGTGCTTTTTAAAAGCATGCTTACTTTAAGGCTCAGAGCTAGACTTGCAATTTCATTCATGCTGCTGTCAATCGTTGACCAGAATTAAAGATTTCTATTCCCCCATCCCATCCTTTCTCAAGAAATGACCTTTTGCATGTTGCATGATGGCACACCTGTCTACCAAGAAGTCTGCAACATGAGACATATAGTTGGCAGCGTGAAACAGATATGCAGTTATCCATCTCCAACTCTATAGTTTGCATGTTGTTGCACTAGCATCCCTAGCTCACATCTCCAGAAAAAGCAAAAGATTAATTCATGAAAGCATCACATGCTGTGTGACACAGTGTTAAGTTACACAAGGAACCATTGAGAGTTTGAATGCTTTACAAGGAATAGTAAAGAGAAAGAAATATAGTTGATTAACAATGCCAAATATACAGAAATATAAACATTCAATGTGTAAGATCAATGAAAATTACTCACTCCTTGTGTGTCTGTTGTGGTCACATGAGGAGTGAGTAGTTGTATTAATCTTGTATGCAGAATATGCCTAGTTTGGAATATTTAGCGTTTTAATCAGCCATATATCTTTGTCCTTACCATTCCATGTGATGCATACAAATTCTCAACCGTTCCTTGCATAACTTAACACTGCATCACACAGCTTGTGATGCTTTCATGAATTGATTGTTTGCTTTTTCTTGAAATGTGAGCTTAGGACAACTGTGTTTTTCAAAAAGGGTAGGGAAAATGAAAGAGCCAGATGTTCTTATAGCAGGGGTTATTACTACATATCTGTTGTGTGCATATCCTTCATTTACAGTATACTTAAAACCTTACAAAAAGTTTCACGCAAGAACATGAATATTGCACAGATATTGATGAACTGCAGGGATTTCTCCTGTTACTTCTAAATGACATTGAAAAATGAAAAGTAGATATAAGTATTTTTGTGTTTGCTTTCTCCACAATTAACAAAGGTAAATTAAAAATGTAATGAGACTACCACCCAGATTTTCTTTGAAACACATTGTCACCATTAGCTAATTCATCAATGCCTGTGTGATATTGGTCACTTGGGAGTACAAATTCTTATTTTCTTGAGTATATGAAAGAAAGAAATGGGAAACATCTAATTAAGAAGATAAATTTTGTGATCCCATGTGACCCTGTCATGCTCTTTAGTTTTATATACAACAGCCAAGTCTGAAGAATGAAAGAAAGTGTTAATTACTTATTTATTTATTACTTATTCATGATCTAAGATAGAAATAATTAAGCACACAGCAAATTTACTTAATTAATCAAAACTTGTCTTGGTTCACCCCAAAAAATAACAAAATAAACATTCATAAGCTGCATTGTGAGTTACTTGTAAAACCAATTCACAAAAACATTGTGCTATGAAGTAACATTAACACTACTATAAATGATCAAGCCAAAATAGAAAAATCAAAACCACATTCCCACTTGACATAAAAATGATCTAACTTCAAGGTCAGCAAATAAACTTAGATAAAGAATTGTTACAATTACTAGGTCTTGCAGACTTGGCTGTCTAATGGTTAACTATCATGTTCAGAAAACAGTGAACTCTGAAATTATTTCTTGTATTTCTAGCTGTGTTGAGTGAGATAACTAAATTGTTAAATTGAACAGTAAATAACTTGTGGTTTTCTAGTTTTTCTCTGCTTTCTGACAGAAATGTCGTTAACTTGTCATAACACATTAAACATTTTGGTTATATTTCAGATGTTCTTAGTTTTCTGAATGTGATAGTTAACCATACTGACTATTTATATTAAAAAACAATGTACAAGTGACAAATACATGACATTCATTCATGGCCAATACCTTATCTACTTATGATGACTTTCAAGTAATTTGGCAACAATCAGGACTGACAGATCATTTTGAAAAAATTATGAGGCTTAATATGGGCAGCTACAAGAATTGTAATCTAGTGTGATATTAAATGCACAAGAAGAATTTTTAGAGTTACACCAAACATAAATTTTGATATGGCTTGAGAGAACATGATCATATTTTAAGGTCATGAATGAATGTCATGTATTTATGCAGCTGTCAGAATGGAAAGCCAAACTTAAGAATTATGATAAATGTTTACTTAACGTGAAAGAGATAATTATTGTACTAATTAAATACATAACAATCCTATAACAATTAAACTAGCTTGCAAATTTGAATTAAGGCTTATCATGCTGACAGCTCTCAGCCTTGTGTAGTCAAAGCAATACTATCACAACTTGGAAGTGGTGATAATATTGCTTAGTTTACACCAGGCTCTATGATGGCTGCAACAATCTACAGATCTTTTGATAATTAGATTTCATATGACACCACCACCCACTGCTCAGTTCATGATACATGTACATGTATTTCAAGGTAATAATTGTGGTCTGTATGGAAGAACATGTCCATAGATTTTCTTAACTCAGTATTGTTGACAAATTGTGGTGTGTTTTGGTAAGCTATTTTGTTTTATGATGGTGAGTACTTCCTTGATACAACAGCAGTTATAGTCTATGTTGCAGTCTATATTACTGATCCATTCTATGGGTGGTGGTATCATATTCAATTTTTGTCAAAGATCTTCGATAAATTGTTATCAGCCACTGTAGGTCCCTTTTGAGAATTCCACACTGATATATTGCAGGTTTTGATCAAATATAGCCTATTACAAAAGGAGCAATATCACACACTCAACAAGGTTTAATTTCCTTTCTGATTTGTTAAAAAAAAAACAAACAGACAAACTTTGGACCATAAATGAACCTGTTTGTGTGCGTGTGAAAACATAGGGCTGAAAGAAGTCATGGAATTCTCAAAAAGGCAAATTTGGATTTTCTAACACTGTTAGTATTACTTTCCAGTGTTAATCGCTTTCAAGAGTTTCAGCTTTCATGAAGCATTGCAATTTTACCCAGACAATCATTGCAGGGATTAAAAGAAAAGGTCCCAAGTGAGTCCTTGTTTCCATTCAACTTCTTTGATCATTTCATGCACATATAATGCAACCCAGATGCTGTTTCAGAATTCCATCAGAAGTTACTTGGGCCTTTTCGCCAAAACACCTTACATTTAATAACTGAACTATAGCCTCTGTCACCCAATTTCTCAAGGTGAGCGTGAGGATGGAATGTTTGGTGTTAGGCTGGGCTACAGACAACATTGAAATAGTCATGACCAGCATACTTATACTAATTCTACTTCTTCTCTGTTGTTCACTTTCGCTAATGAAGTGAAAGATCTACAATTAAGACTTAACGAAAGTCACTCCATCCTGTTTAATTTTTTTTTGTTTTTTGCTTTTTTTGGTAATCATGCAAGAGTGGTTATAGATTTCCTAATCTAAGACATTTTTCTATCCTTCGTTTGTCCCTTGACCTCTATAAAGGAGCAACGTCACTCTGCTTTCAAGTTGCTTACTGTGATAAGCAAAATTGCTTTCATTGTTTAAAAAAACAACAGTCAGTCAAATGTAACTAGACCAAAACTGAAATTGTCAGCTGAAAAGTAACAAAAAGGGATAAAAGACAGAAGAAAACTTAAACAGATTGCAAGAAAAGACGAGAAAAAAATTAACTTGTTCAAAGTAGTGGCTTCTCATAGTGGCCTGCTTCTAAAAGCTGATTTTTGTCTTCAAATCATTTTATCTAAAGACTGTTACAACATCTGAATCCTGGCTACGATTTCTCCACTAAAAGGTTGGTCGAAGGCTAACTTTTAGAGGTGCATGAAATGTAACGTAGCTCCTTTTAATTATGAACTATACTACGGATGGAGTATTATAAAAAAAAATTCAAAGTATTATAAGTAATATGCTGTAGACTGGTATTTATGGTCAATCCTCCAATGACAACTAAAGGGAAGAAATTAAAAAGTCAAAACATACTTACGAATTAGACTCAAACCAAAAGCAGAATTTACATCCACTTATAATTTTCATCAAATGGCTGGTCAAGCAACTCGAATCTTTTTACCAGTAGCTAAAAAGAACAGTTGAAATGTGCAGATGCTGACAGGGACGAGGAAAAATCAAGAAACACTGACTCAGTTAACTGAAGGCACTAATAAATAAAATCAATCAACAGCAACCTTTAAAAACTGTGGTTTAGAGGTTACAGTGATTTTGTAATGTAATTAAATTATTTAATGTATTTTAGATCTGAACCTTCAGTTTACTCACCAGATGCAGAGAACCTTTCTAAGTGGATTCGGATGGTCTGGCAGACTGAAAGCAAGTATGGAAATGGAGATGAGTGATGTTTGATTTGTGTGATGATCTTCATTTATTCTGTTTATTAAAACTCTTGAAGTGGGTGTTACATCATAACTTTAAAATTTATTTGTATGGCATTATCCTTAGGGACCAAAACAGGCCGTAGATCAACCAATGTGTGTTAGCAAAAACATGACTGAATATTAATGTTAAAGGTTAGCATAACTCATCATGAAACTTTCGAGTAAATTTCTGCAGTCAGCAAGAGAATGTTGTGAACTGAATTGATTTTAATTACATTACTGTAAGCAGAAATGTACAGCATTTACCCATATTGGTATCAACATGCGTTGAGTAGTTCTTCCGTACGCCAGTGTCATTCTCAAGTGGTCCTGGCAAAGTTCTCCAGGTTCACAAAGAGATTCCACATGTACCTGCACAAGAGGACTAGGAATTCTGTTCTGGCTCAAGGACATAATGTGAACCAATGGAACCTGTTTAAAGAGTGAAAAAGAATGCCAAATCAACAGACGAAAAGAAACAATTCCATGGAGTTAAAAGCATATTTTTGTTCAAAATTTTAGAGTTGATTTAAGTGTTTTTTTTCTTTATGGAACACCTAGTTGTTTTCATGTTTAACTAACACACCTGGAAAGGTCTCTGCTCCTCCTGCAGTCGGAATCTTCCCTGTGCTTCCCTCCGCAACTCGAATTTTATTATTATTTCATTTTCCAAGTTCAGAAGATGAAAATGTCTATTTTCTTGTTGGGGGGAGTACTCATTACCAAATGGAACAACTTGTATACTGGAGAATTGGTCTCGTTGTAGCTGGCTTACAATCGAAGCTACTCTGCCCTATATTAGGGGATAAAACAAATAGAAAATTTTCAAAAAATTACTCTATGTTATCATAGAAATCTGAAAATAAGCTGGCACGACAGTCAGAAATTTGAAAGTTTCAATTGAATAACAATACTCCATTGAAAGGTGGTGACTTCAGGACTAGGGTCTAGCCCTTGATTGTCACCTGATTTATTTCCGGCTAAGGAAGAAACAATCTTACTGGTACCCAAATTAAATTGTAATCGCAGGACGTTAAGTGAGTACCTGCAAATTGTCATTTAAACAACCTGGCCAAATACTATGCAACAATTATTCACTGAAGTGGAGATGAATAGCGGTGGATATTTACCGTGCCGCCAAGCGTCGCGGTAATTCTCCATTACTTTCATAATATATTTTATATGTACCACACAGAAACTAAAAAAAGGTAGTTTTTTCATGTCAATGTACCAAAAAGTATTTAAAAAGATTACATTTTGCGACAATTGTTACATTTTGCGGCGTAACACTGGCGTTTTATCGGAAAGAAAAAACGTAGGCATCCATTTCTTGTGCTGGTGAGCC